ACTCGCCTCTGGAGCATGACAGCGGTTCGAACCAGGGCTGGAACTAAGCGCTGTTTTGTTGGATTTCGGCTGTGTTTGGTTGTTCGTTTCGCAGGGGGGGTACAGGACAACAGGTAATGGAGAACGAACAACAAAACGAGAACAACACTGACAACAACGTTTAGGTCCAGCCCTGGTTTGAACAAAGGCTCACGGAAACGGAAAACAATTGCGTTGGGAGTGCAGCCAGAATTGGAGCCCGAAGCAAAAGTGGCGTCGGAACCGGCATAAGAAACGGCGCCAGAACTGGCAAGCAGACGACACAGCTGGACCAGTAAGAAAACGGCCCTGTCGTTTTTCCAGGGCCCACCTAGGCCAAGACCATCAGCAGGTGAGGCAGCTCATAATGCGGGACCGAGGTGTAAGATCGAGGTCGGTTCGGGGAGGGTGCCCTCGTGCTCTTCGTGTCTGTCAGATACTATTGTGCATCCTTGGGAGGGTGCCCTCGGATGTTCTGTGCGTTTTGGCCGACGGAGGGTCTCGTGTTCTTGAGGGATGTTCTTCTGGTCTAGGTCCGACTGTACTTGAGCCAGTGATCCCAGACAGGCTTTGACTAGGTGAGCGTTTTTATTCATTCTTTTCTTCTGCCGATCGGCGCGGGCCCTCGCACCCCCTTCCCCCCCCCTGGAGTAGATCTTGGCTGTTTTTGGCGCGTTTTTCATGCAGGGGGACTCTCCCCCACGTAGGACGCACTGCTGCAAACAGTCGCACCAAGCAGAGGTCCGGAGCCAGATACCCTCCTCCCCCCCCTTCAGCCCAATGTCGAAACGTCGAATAAGATAACGCTCACTCATGAGGTTCTTAACTGGTCTTGAGCACACCGGCGGGGAGCAGGCCCGCGCTGGCAGGCCTCGCTCATATCCTTCTCGGGTTCGATGACGTGTCGCTCCCTTGCTGTTCTGAAGAGGCGTTTCCTGCGTTCCTTTACGTGAGCGTTTTTATATTCATTCTTTTGCCGATCGGCGCGGGCCCTCGCACCCCCCCGCCATGGAGTAGATGTTGGCTGTTTTTTGGCGCCTGTTTCGAGCGGGTGGGGACCCTCCCCCAGAGGACGCACTCATGCAAACAGTGGCATTGAGCAGAGGCCTGGAGCCAGACCCCCCCCTTCCCCCCCCCTTCCTCCCCTCCCAATGTCGTAACGCCGAAAAAAACGCTCCCTACTTGCTCCTCCTCCTCCTCCTCCTTCAGAGGAGGAACAGAAAAGGTTTGTGCCTGTACCCTTTGCTCGTTCTCCCTCTTTTTGGGCCTCGACTTAGGCCCTCGTCGCCACCGCTGGGATTCGCCTCGAAATCCTGGTCAGAACGCGTCCTGGAGGAGGAGGAGGAGGAGGAGGAGGAGGAGGAGGAGGAGGAGGAGGAGGGAGGGAGGAAGGAGGGCCAGTTTATTCACCGCCGAGAGCTCCGGGGAGGGGGGTCAAAACTATAGACTTCTAGAGGTCAGCGGTATTGGTTCCCTTTGGTTTCCCCACTTTTCTTCTTGCCTTTTGTTTGTTTGAAAAAGGCATTATCCGACAATGCCAAGCGATGCCAAGCAACGCCACCTAGGGCCAAGCAAGGTCAAGCAGCGCACAGCAAGGCTTTCCGATGCCAGTCAAAGCCATTAAACGCTGAGCAAAGCCAATCCATGCCAAACAATGCCAAACAAAACCAAGCAATGCCAAGGAATGCCAAGCAAATGCCAAGCACTGCCAAGCAAATGTCAAGCAATGCCACGCAACGCCAAGTAAGGTCGCTTAGGAGGCGTTCCCGTACTCGGGGTCGCACCGTTTTTTGCTTTCATATACATATCTATATATATATATACACATTATAGTCGTGCTCATGCAGGTGAAGGAACCGAGCAGCAGTATCAGGCGAACGTGCAGATAGCAAGAGGAGGAGGAGGAGGAGGAGGAGGAGGAGGAGGAGGAGGAGGAGGAGGAGGAGGAGGAGGAGGAGGAGGAGGAAGACGAGCGAGGAGGCCAGGAGAACGAGGGAGCAGAAGGGGCGACTAAACTCCGTCGAAGAGCACTCGCCCTGCGCGCCGCTCGGCCCCGGGGGCCCGCAGAGGACGTGAACCAGCGCGCGCTGCTGCGCCGCTACGAGGCGGAGCTGCAGCGGCTGCGGGCGGAGCTGCACGAGCAGCGCGAGGTCCCCCCACCGGGGGGCGGGCGGGCGGCGCTGCGCTGTGCCCAGCGTGCGGGAGCGCGCAGCGCGTCCGGCCTGTTGGTGGCGCGGAGCCGGAGCCGTGTGGTTTGCGGTCGTCCCGTCCCTCTGGGGATCGGCATCGTTTCACCGATCCCCATCCTCGTCCCCGTCCCCTTCGAGACCCCCCTAGCAAATTGCCGCCCCAGTCGGGGAGACGCACCCTGGAGCCCGAGGGGAACGGCCTCTAGCTCCATCTGGTGAATCGGCCAGCGGGGCCCAGGCCACGCCGCTGGGGATGGGGATCGGTTGAACGATGCTCAGAGGAGCAGGGCCCGAGATCCAGGCGGCGGTTCTTTTCAATTCCGCGGGCTTTTCTGCGCCCCCAAGGGGTGGGGGGGGCGAGGCAGCCCGCCGGAGCCCCGCGGGGCAAGCGGTCGATGGGAGGCATGCGCCTAAGGGTCGGCGCGCACTGGAGGAGGCGCGGAGGCGGCAGCGCGCCCGCGGCGGAAGCTCGCGGAGGATTGCGGGAGCACGGCTGCCTGTGCCGGCGGAAGCTGGCAGAAGGTCGTCGGCAGCCAGCAGTCGAGTAATCGAGCAGTGGCGAAGCATCCCGGCTCGCCCACAGGCCCCCCAAAGAATGCTCTCAGAACCTTTGTGGTCTGCACGAAATGTTCTTAGAACATTTCTGGCCGAGCCTGTCTTGTTTTAACCCAGAGGAAAAAATCAGTGGATGGTTTTCGCTGAGGAAATCGGCCGGGAACCCGGGAGCCCAGTCTGCTACCAAGATCGGCGGGAGATTTACGCCAAATCTTTCTCAACTTCCGCTATGACCCCTTTAGTGCAAGCATTGATTGTGGAACGTCGGGTGTATGTTCTTAGAACATTAGTTTGATTATTCGAGCATTTTTGGGTTCCAAGAACACTTCGTGGTAGGCCAACAAGAATGCTGTGACGGTCGGTCCCTGCTCAAAGTAAGGAGCAGGAGGAGGAGGCCGAGGAGGCAGAGCCCGTTGGTTCTCCCGAACTGTCGGGCTCACGGGTGTCCTGATCGTGAGCGGTTTGTTTGAGCTCTGTGGGGTAGGACACTGCACCACTTGGCAAGTTTCATGTGTGTCTCGGGAGGGAGGGAGGGATGAGGAGGAGGAGGCGGAGGAGGAGGAGGAGGAGGAGGAGGGGGAGGGAGCAGGAGGAGGAGGAGGAGGAGGAGGAGGAGGAGGAGGAGGAGGAGGAGGAGGAGGAGGAGGAGGAGGAGGAGGAGGAGGAGGGAGGAGGAGTCTGGTGAGCCGGGTCGAGCGAGTCAGAAGGACCCGCCCGCTGCCACCCTCCTCGCGGGAGCTGGCGGAGGGCCGTCGGAAGCCGGCGGAGGTCAGAAACGCTGACCTCCAAGAGGGTTCAACGCAAGGGTACCCTTCAAGCAGTGGCGAAGCGTCCTGGCTCGCCTATAGCCCTACCAAGCAATGTTCTGAGAACCGTCTTGTGGTTTCCACGAAATGTTCTTAGAACATTTCTGGCCGAGACTGTCCTGTTTTAACTCGTCGGGCTTATGTTCTAAGAACATTGTTTCTGTTTTTGAACATTTTTGGGTTCTAAAACATTTCGTGGTAGGACTATAGGAATACCGGGACGGTTTGTCCCTGCTCAAGCCCTGTTCTTTTCAGACCAGGCGAGAAACGACCGCCACCATCAGGAGGGGAAAACACACACAGACACAATGAATCGTCGATGCCCAGGAACATGTGGAAAGATGTGGGAAGTGGGGGGGGAGGACGGAGAACCAGAAACTATGGGAAACTATGGGGGGAATCCTGGTTTTTGTATTTATTTATTTGTGTGTCCCAGGGCCCCTTTACACCAGAAGTTCTGGCGCGGCTTCAAACAAAACAGTTGTTTTTTTGTTTTCTGTTTCATTGTGGCCGTTGTTGGCAAGCTCTTTCCCATATTTTTTCTTTCCCCTCTTCCAGCTCTCCTACCTTCTGCTCTTCTTGCCAGTTTTTGGGGCTCTCGTAAAGCCTTCTTTGGCCATCTATTGGGCTTATCTTATCTTGAGGTCCTGTTGGGTTGTCTTTGGGTCCTCCTTGGACACTTGTGGGCCGTCTTCGGGCCCTTTGGGACCTGTGGGGCCATCTTGGGTCCATGTTGGCCGTCTAGGGGGTCTTCTGGTGCCGTCTTGGGCCTGCCCCGCCTCCTTGACCGCTTCCCTGCATTGTCAGATAATCTCGCGGTTTGGATGCACCTAGTGCAGGACGATTGAGTATGCGGTCGCGCCAGGCGATTGGGGTTGGATTTTCCCGCTTTCTGGTTTTGTTTGGGCTTGCCAGTAACTGCGGGATTCTCACTTTAGGCCGCTGTACTCCTTCCCTCTCATCCTCCTCTCCGCCGCTGGTTAGCTTCGAACTGGCTGCATTAATACAGGGGGGGAAAGGTCCCCCCACCCAGAACCCATGGTCGCCCTCCTCGTCCGCAGTCTCGTACCAGCCCTTGCGGCGCTGGCCACCCTGGGGGGGCTGGCGTTTCCAGAATTCGGCCCCCACCAGCTCAAGGGATCAACATAAAAATTTGGAGGTTCGCGCGGATTTCTCGGATCGGCGCTGGAACCCCCGTCCTTGGCGCGCGGAGCGCGCCAGGGGCGGCGCCGCAGGCGCCGCCGGGGGGCCCCAGCGCCGATCCGAGAAATCCGCGCGGACCTCCGAGTTTTTATGTTTATGTCACTTTTTGTTCCCTTACCCAGCGTTCGCATGCGTCTACCGCGCCAATTTTGTCACACCCCTCACACGCTTCGTGGCCCCGTTGGGAGCCCCACCAAAGGCCCAAATGTCAGCGTTCGCACGCGCCCTCCGCACCCATTTTGGCACGCCCCTCACACGTTTCGTGGCCCCATAGGGAGCCCCACGGAAGGCCCAAATGCCAGCGTTCGCATGCGCCCACTGCACCCATTTTGCCTGCTACGTTCCGTGGCCCCAGGGGGCCCCACCGAAGGCCCAAATGCCAGTGTTCGCATGCGCCCGCCGCACCCATTTCGGCACACCCCTCACACGTTTCGCGGCCTCATAGGGAGCCCCACCGAATGCGGTGCACACAGCGGCTGCACCCACAACTGCATATGGTTGGGTTCTTCGCCAGGTTTTTCTGTAACTCTGGCACAAGGCATTTGTTTGGAAGGCCGCCACAAAAGGGATCGTCCTTGTCAGGCCGCCACAACAGGAATTCTTCTTTTAAGGCCGCTACAAGGAATCCTTTTGCAAGGCCGCCCCAAAAGGAATCCTTTTTCCCAACCATCCTGTGGTGTTGAGTCTTCGTCTCGAAGAGACGATCCCCGCGTTCACTCCTCCTCCTCCAGCTGCCCCCTCCCTCCTCCTCTCATCATCCTCATCCTCATCCTCATCATCATCATCATCCTCCTCCTCATCATCATCAACACCAACATCATCATCTGCCTCATCCGCATCATCATCGTCTTTACCCGTCTCATCAGACCCCTCACACGCTTCGTGGCCCCATAGGGAGCCCCACCGAAGGCCCAAATGCCAGCGTTCGCATGCGCCCGCCGCACCCATTTTGTCACACACACACACAAAACACACGCTTCGTGGCCCCATAGGCAGCCCCACGGAAGGCCCAAATGTCAGCGTTCGCACGCGCCCGCACTCATTTTGGCACACCCCTCACACGTTTCGTTGCCCCATATGGAGCCCCACTGAAGGCCTAAATGCCAGCGTTCGCATGCGCGCCCCGCACTCATTTTGGCACACCCCTCACACGCTTCGTGGCCCCATAGGGAGGAGCCCCACCAAAGCCCCAAATGCCAGCGTTCGCATGCGCCCGCCGCACCCATTTCGGCACACTCCTCACGCGTTTCGTGGCTCCATAGGGAACCCCACGGAAGGCCTAAATGCAAGCGTTCGCATGCGCCCGCCGCACCCATTTCGGCACACTCCTTACACAGTTCGCGGCTCGATGGGGAGCTCTTCGGAATGCGGTTCATACAACGACGGTATGCACAACTGCATATGGTTCGGTCCTTCGCCAGGCTAATTTTCTACAGGCCGCCACGAAAGGAACTCTCTTCGCAAGGCCGCCCCACAAGGAACAATGTTGTAGGGGCGGGCAGGCGAACATGCGAAATGTACAAACTGCCACCAACAAAAAACACTGCGACGTACCCAACCCAGTGGCATCAAATGACAAGAGGTGTTGGCCCACACTTGCCAGGACACTGGCAGTGAATGCGCCGTTATCTGTTGTGCAAGCTGCATGGGATGTGCCCACGTGGCGCGATTTACAGGACAACAACAGAAGGACGAGGAGCGAAGGCCCAGGCTTGAGGAGGACATGACGGCGGGAACGAAAAGCAGGATAATGACGCCTAGGGGGCCGACCCGTCAGCGGGGCAGAAGCAGAGGGAAGGTGGCAGGGGGCAGAAGACGACGACAAAAGTGACGGGAGGAGACCGAAGAGTGTTGCTCTTGTCCGTCGCACGCTAAAGATGCAGCGCTGCCTGCGCCATGTCGCCGCGGCGCTCGGCAAACTGATTCATTGGCTAACGCCGCACCGCCGACCCTTTGGGGCGGCAGCAAGAGTGAAAAACGGAGTTCGCAGAACGCGCGCGATCGCTGGGCAATCTTGGGGTCTCGGTCTGTCTTACGTAGCGCGTCGGGATCTAGGGGGGGCCTTGTAGGGGATTGTTTTCAAGTTTTTCGTTATGTGGTTTTCTTGGGCCCTTCACGGGCCCTGTCCCAGGCTTCCTTTTCCACCCCCTGGATAGGCTCGGGGATCGTTGAGACCCAGTTGGGGGTGCGTCCGGCCAGACGTTCGAGAGTGAACCCAGCTGTGTCGATGAGGAGCTTCCTGAAGGCCCAGAGGGGGCGGAGAGCGCCCAAGAGCTAGGGGTCTCATGCCTCGAGCCTCGATCCACTCCGTGTTCCTTCCTTTGCGAAGGGGAGGCACCGGCCAGGGAGGTCGATCCTCACCCCGGACCTCCGGTGGTGGTCCTGGGCACCGAAGAC